ATCGTCCTCTGCTCAACTTAATATATCGAGCAATAAAATGAATTTAAAATGGACTTTGCTAAGATAAATATATTAATGAGTTTAGTTTCAAAACTTAAGTAATAAATTGCGGCTTCATAATTATTTTTAATACATCATCAAATTGATCATATGTTATATTATAAAATACGCTTTACTAACTTAGACTTTTTTAAATTAAACAAATTTGATTTTTAACTCTCCGTAGGGTAAGTTATAGTAATCGCAAAAAAATCGAAAATGAGTATTTTTATATATAGTATAATAATTTTTGCGAAGGCAGGTCTAGCGGTTTCAGAGATCGAGTGAAGAAAGTAAAAAAATGCCATTTGGCGGTAAAAAATGATCATTAGACAAATACATATGAAATTATCAGATATTTTATAGAGGTTTTAATAATAAGTATGAATTTTGTTGGCATTTTTATGGGTTCCGTATCAATGTTGATCCGTTAGACTGCGATGCGGCGTTTACGCGCTTCGATATTTTATCTCTAAAACAGCGACGCAGCACGATTGCTTTCAAAAAAAGTTCAAAATTTTCAGAAAAATTAACAGTACATATAAAAAAATTCCGAAATATAAAAAAAAATCAAATTTTTCAAAAAAGTCAATTTTTTTCAGAAATTTTAAAATTCTCAAAAATCTTTTTTTTAATGTTTTCAAAAAAAATTTAAAATTCTCAAAAATCTTTTTTTTAATGTTTTCAAAAAAATTTCAAGGTTTTTTAAATAATTTAATTCACGGTACGGGAAGTTCCAGTAATTTGCCTTAAGACACAATGCCATGCAACCAGTTACAACATTAATCCACGTGGAACAACTGACGGTAGAACTGCTATAATAATCAGAAACATCATTAAGCACTAACAAACCTAAAACATTTGTCAGTAAACATTTCATATAAGCAACTTTCATCAATAACCAACCTAGAAATAAACTATATCTGTAATTCAAATAAGTGGTATCTATATCGCACTTCGTTAAATTGCCATTTAAAACTCAATATTTGGTATTTATAAATTCTAAGGGCAAAAATCTTACCAAAATTAAGCTTTTCAACAGCCAGCATATAGTTTAACCACATCTCGAATGCCTACATGCTACAGCTTACACACTTTATATAAATATGTAATTTTTTATTTACTTTTTGAATCATTTCTAAATATTGCCAACTATATTTAAAGTTTTTTTGTAAATCTATATATTTAGTGCAGTAAACGGAGAGGAAAAAAGGGTATAACCTCTGAATTTTTTTACTGTGCTCCGAATTGAATGAAATTTTGGAATTAGGTTCATCTGACCCTCAAGTTCAAAAGTGAAAACAATTCGGGTTGCGCCATCACCCCCCTGGGGGGATGACACCTCTTCTCAATTGTGTAATTACATTTTTTCAAAATAGCATCGGAAATCGATAGAAGAACTAATTATAAGAAAAAAATGTCTTTTATAGTTTTTCAAAAAAACTAATACTTTTCAAGTTACTGGCCACTAAAGATTCATATATTTTTGGCGTTTTTCTTCGTTTTTTTGCAAATATCTTCTAAAATATACATTTTAACAAAAATCATGTAATGAACAAAATAATGTCAATAAAAATCTTAATAAATCGGTATTACATAAAGTGTTCTAGGAAAGATATTAAGCAAGATTTGAAAGAGCAAAGTCGTTTTTTATTTCGTTCAAGATTTAATTGTTGTATTTAAAGCCATCTAGTGTCGAGGTTTTACATTTTATGCATTTCAGTGAAATTGGGTTTTATAGTGCTTAATATAAGCTTCAAAATGAGTGCTGTTACAAGTCTTTTGCGTGTAAAATGAGTGAGCTATCATGCAAATAAGAAGCATATACGAAGTTTTTTTCTTTTAAATCATGTGGTTTAATGAGCGCGATTTCCGCCAGAATTAAAGTATTTCACATTCCATCTAGAATTCACTTCATTATAGACATCTTGATGGATTCTATCAGATTTACTACTTTAGTACAAACTAGTACTCAGAAAACTCACGATTTTATAAAAAAAAATTTTTCCAATATTTTTAAAAATCGAAATTATTTTCATTATATCTCAAAAATAATAAAAGACACGTATAAAAGCTTATAGATCAAAATCAAAGGGATCTTTCTGGCTAATTATTGTTTTTTATTATTTTTCTTTCACAAAAAAATTGACATAGTTATGAATGTTTAAAGACTGCGCGGCCGCGCAAATTAGAAAAAAAGTTTTTATAAAATCGTGAGTTTTCTGAAAATAGTTTGTACTAAAGTAGTGAATCTGCTAGAATCCATCAAGATGTCTATAATGAAGTAAATTTTAGATGGAATGTGAATTACTTTAATTCTGGTGGAATTAGCGCTCATTAAACCATATGATTTAAAAGAAAAAAACTTCGTATATGCTTCTTATTTGCATGATAACTCACTCATTTTACATGCAAAAAACTTGTAACAGCACTCATTTTAAAGCTTATATTGAGCACTATAAAACCCAATTTAACTGAAATGCATAAAATGTAAAACCTCGACACTAGATGGCTTTAAATACAACAATTAAATCTTGAACGAAATAAAAAACAAATTTGCTCTTTCAAATCTTGCTTCATATTTTTTCTAGAACACTTCATGTAATACCGATTTATTAAGATTTTTATTGACATTATTTTGTTCATTACATGATTTTCGTTAAAATGTATATTTTAGGAGATATTTGCAAAAAAAACGAAGAAAAACGCCAAATATATATGAATCTTTAGTGGCCAGTAACTTGAAAAGTATTAGTTTTTTTGAAAAACTATAGGAGACATTTTTTCTTATAATTAGTTCTTCTATCGATTTCCGATGTTATTTTGAAAAAATGTAATTACACAAATGAGAAGGGGTGTTATCCCCCCGGGGGGTGATGGCGCAACCCGAATTGTTTTCACTTTTAAACTTGAGGGTAAGATGAACCTAATTCCAAAATTTCATTCAATTCGGAGCACAGTAAAAAAATTCAGACCTAAAACGCTCCGTTTACTGCACTAATTATATTATCGTTTAACGTAATCCACGTAATGGTGCATTGTAATCCACTGCCGTGGACCCCCAAATTTTGTTTTTACCGCCGTGGACCCCTTGAAAGTTGCCACGGACCCCTGGGGGTCCATGTGGACCACTATGGGAATCACTGGTTTAAAGTATATTAGAACTTTAGTCAAAATTGAAATTAAAATCTGAAATATTTTCGATGCACAAAAAGAAAAAATTGTTTGAAAAAAAAATTTGGAACAATTTTTTCTTCAAAAGTAATTGTTTTGTTAAAAAAGTAGAGAAAGTTCTTTAAATCATTTAGATCGGACACTTAGTTCTCTCAAAAACTGCAATTTTTTGCACATTGAGCTCAGTATCTTCGAAATGACTGCACCTCTAAATCATTAGAAACCGAATGCTTTTTAGATCATTCAAATCGGACACTCCGTTCTCTCTCCGATTTGTATTTTCTGCACTCTTTGCTCCGTATCTCCGTAACGACTAGACCTGCCTGTGCCAAAAACTGTTTTTTGGACCATTCAAATCGGTTGATCCGTGCGCCAGAAAACACGAACGAAAAAATACGGACATACAAAACACGCACACACACACAAACATCCAGTTTTTCTGAGGTATGTCAAAATATTCAGAAAACTTCAAAACGTGAAGATATGGAAAAATTTTCATTTTCGATTTTCGTCGCATTACTATAACTACCCTACGGGAATTTAATAAATGCGGCCCGCGAGTAGAAGAGGTTAAATAGAGGTAAATTTGTATTGTGCATTGTGTTTTTGTAGAAACTAAAAAACTGTCACGACGCTAATTATTTATATCGATTCTGAAATCAACGTGCTATGTCTATTGCAATTAGCTTTAATATTACAGAAAATAAATTTATAGAACGTTGATGTATGTTCTTCAATGTCCACAAATTCGTATCAAGCTAATTGCATAACATAGGTTTACATGCACAACATTGCATACATACACAATAATATCAAGTTCACCAGAATGCCGCACCGAGTTGCTAGTAGATTTTAAATTGGTGCCGTTCTGTAACAATTAATATAATGTAAACAAGTGTTATATAAAAAAATAATTAACTTTGCGTAAAAACAATGCAAATTTAACAAATAAACTAGTGATGTATGGCCTCGTGCCTTAAGGCAAATTGCTGGAACTTTCCGTACCTAAAATTAAATTTTTGAAAAAAGAGTAAATATGCATAAACTTTGAAAAAAAAATAGATTTTTGAGAAATTTTATATTTTTGAAAAAAAAACTACTTTTTTAGAAAAAAAACTTGAAAAAAATGCTTTTTTCAGTTCGAAATATTTTGGAAATTTTGAACTTTATTACAAAGCAATCGCACTTCTTTAGCAGCATAGAGACGTAATATCGAAGCGACTAAGCGCCGCGTCGCCGTCTGACGGACAGACGATGTTACAAAACCCATAAGAAATGTGAACAAAATTGTTACACATTATTAAAATCTTCATAAAATAATTGGTAATTTGATGTGCATATGTCCAACAATAATATTTGACCTCAAAATAGTATTTTTCTTACTTTTTTTTACTAGATTTTCGAAACCGCTAGACCTGCCTTTCTAAATGTTAATCAGTTTTTTATCTTGTCAATACAAGTAAAATGTTTTTTGAATTATTAAAATCGGACGAAGCAGCACGTCTGTTTATTAATAGAAATCTAATGTTCTTTGAATATACAAAAAAAATTATTTTCGATTTTCATGCAATTACTGTAACTTGGCCTACGGGAAAGTTAATAAATTATTTTTTTAATGATACGATCATATTGATAAAATGAAACCTAAACAAATTGATAAATCTTAAAATTTTATTTATCAGGCATTGTAATACATTAGAAAAATTTAAAGATTTTATTAATGTTTATATTTAAAAATGCACAATATATAAAAATTGTTTTAAAATACAGTAAAACTTTCAAAGCGATATTTCATTTATTGATTATTGATTTTTATATGACTTGCGTTTGTAGATACGATCAACGTATTCAGACAGGATTTCGTACACCGTAAGTGAAGACATGTAGTTGTGCAATTCATTTTTCTCTAGGTTAACTTTGTTGTGCACACGCAGTACCAGCTGTCTGCATATTTTCCCCAAAGTTTGCACAGCGTGAGCCAAACCGTCTTCTTCTGCAGGCGGAATTTTATAATCAGCTTTAGAATCATTTTCAGATAGAGGCAGATAACTGTCCAAAACTCCTTCCAAAATACCTGAAGCGTAGTCGATGCCTTTCAAAGCCTTGAGACCATAGGAAGATGACAACACTTCATTGGTTTTACGCCAAGATAGCTCTTTGAGCGACAGTACTTTGGATTTACCGAATTCTTTTATTGATTTTAGATGTGTTTGGTTACTGGCGACAATGATTGCCGTGTCTGCATTATCTGTGATAGCTTTTGTTGAATGTTGATTTTGTGAAGGCGCGATGACTATACTAGTAACTTTTTCAGCTTTTAATAATGCACTAGAAACACAACTAGAAGCTGAAAATAAGATACTATGAAATAATTAGATTCAATATATATATATATATATATATATATATATATATTTAGAGTTTACCTTTTATAAATCCGTAAACATTTTGAGACTGCTGCAAGGCACTTTCAATTCCAGGCAACTGCAACATTCTTCCAACAAATCCGTTCGTTGAGCTGGTGGCACTTTGGACTTCATTGGTTTTCGAAACGGCTGCATACATGACGCGCAACAATCTATAATATCTAACAAGTTGCACAGTTCTTGATACATTATAATTTATCAACAACATTAAAATATAATCCATTTTGCCACTCGGAATTCAATCAACTTACTTGGTGAAGTTCGTTGACGTCAGTGAATCTTCCAACGAAATGAATCACAAAACCTTTGTGCACTGATTATATACCAAAGATGGTACACATAATTATACAAACATTTCATAGAGTGCGGTGTTTCAGATATGCATAAAATGATTCATATAGATAATTTTAGTGAAATACTAAACATGAAATTAAAGAAATTCAAATATGTTTTAAAACTCTATGTATAGTTTATATCTATATGATAATATTTGTTATTATTTTTTGTAAAGATAAATATTTATCTAATTAGTAATATAATAATAATGTCTATTTAATCTTTTCTTTAAATAATCATATCGTGTAAATGTTGATATTAAATAATTCAGGTCATTTAAATGGCATGTTGACATTTAAATTAACTGAATTAGTTGAAATTAAAATTTATTACATTGGTGTCGATATCTACATTGTATCAAACACAACTATTTTTTTTTCTAAAATCTGATTAGCAAATTTTATGTTTTCTCGATGTCTTAATCAGGAGCTTTTGGGTCCAATTATGAAAAAGCATGTTTTAGGAAAAGTTTCGATCTTTCGTCGACTTTTTCACGAAAGCGGCTACCGAAAAATAAATTTAAATGCCATTTGATATAACTCAATAGGACTTGCGTTCCGATTGCGCGGCGATCGGCCAAACCGTTTCTTTGTAGGAGGAGTGAGAGTGTCAAATTTGTCTACGTTTTAGCCAAAAATACTTAATCGGTTAGGAAAATTAAAAAAAAGGTAGAAAGATATTAGTTGGGAATCGTGCTGAATAGTTTTAGTGGATATCAGCCGCGCAGTTTTTTCGTAATTATTTGTAAAAAAAAAGGTTTTGATAATTTTTATTTTTTAAGTCATTAAATTTAAAAAATGCATTAAAATTAAAATAATGTTCAGCGCTTTTGTTATGTGTTCAGTCGAATTTTGCCTAATCCAAAAACTTAAAAACCATTCGGGTAAACTCAACCAAAAAGAACCATGATTTCTTCTTTGGAATTGGCAGAAAAGTGCAATATTTTTTGTTCACGTTATCGCAAATAATCCTGAATCGATTTTGAAAATTGAAAACCGTTTGAAAGACTTGATTATTTGGGAATCGCGATAATATTTTAGTAAAATTATATTTGGTTGAATTATAAATATTTGTTAAAATTTAGAATATTGTGATTTTAGGGCATACATATAAGAAAAAAATCAATTGTAAATTGCAATCATTAGTTTCTAGTAAAAAACTTTTATTTTCGAAATAAACCGCTTGATTTTTTTTATCTGTGTTGATTATTAAGCTAAAGTGCAATTCACACCTAGTTTTATACGTTTTCATTATTTATACTCAAAATTTACTTTAATTATACTCGATTATAACACAACATTTAAAAAAATAAAAAATTGTAATTTATATATTTTGTATGAGGCATGATTCATAATGTTAACTTCTGCTTCTGCATAATTGATAATAAATTGCTTTCATAAGAAGAAGACAATTCATAAGTTCGCATTCTATTTTTACATTCATTTATAAAGATTAAATACAGTCCGAAACATATTTATTTTTAAAGTTAACGTTCTATTGTAAATTTAATAATATTGTTTTATATAAATCTAAAACTTGCAGTATACAATCTTTATTATACTTATATTTAAACTTAAGCCTTACTAATATCAAATTAATAAAATTATAAATCAAATTATAGTTGCACAAAAATTATAAAATAATTTTTACGTATCATTTTAATTAAGATCCAAATCATTTGATATTAAAAATATTTTCAATTGTTTTAGCGTCAAAATTTTCAGTTTGTCAAATAAAAAAATGCAATAAATACATAATAAAACCAAACTAAATTATTTGTTACATCTTTTGTATCCAGCATATCATAAATACGCGCCCTTTTGAAAAATTTAACGCCGCCAACGGTCAATGTTGTTACTGATCAGGTGATGCATGCTGAGTAAAAATTGAAAGAACGCATTCGGTCATTCGTTGCGTCGTCAGCATTGGTACGAGAGGCATTCAGTTATCTACGACGGACCAGGGTAAGCGTTGTACGTTTTTGTTGCGTATGTATGTTTCAAGTTCGGCGTTTTTGCGTTTGATTCATATTTAAATAACATAGTGATTTGGTATCGATTTGATATGTAAATAACATTAGTGATTTGGAGATCGATTTGATATGTTATGTTGTGTTAAACAGTTTATATAAAATTATGTAAGCCATTATATTAGTAGCGAATATCGAGCAGATTGCACGGATTGTGATTGCAGTTTTCATGCGATACGATTCATGTTTAACTGAACATTAGTCAATTGTGTGAATATCTAGAGCTCAGAATATCTAGTTTCTTCATTTGATTTATATTCCAATATATCTATTCATTATTGTGCATAAGAATAATTAATTGCTATTCGTATACAAAATTTTATTCGTAGTATTGAAACCATGGAATCGTGTCGATTTTGTTCCGATTCGTCAGCAATTTATGTTAACTATGTGAATTGTTGTTGACGATATAAAATCTAATCTCAATATCGCAAATTAACGCCAGTTTTTTTCTTTTTTTAATTTTTATTTTTAGCTCAGTCGTTTGTTTATAATTTGGCGAAATATTTACATTTCGGATTCAATTATATTCAGAAATTTATCACTTTATCATTATTTAATTGCAAAAAGTAAAAGTTACATATATTCAATATATTATCAAATTATTTTAACAGTATAGTTTTTAATTTAACTATTTATTTAAAACATTCGCAAAGTAACGTTTTGAGGTATTTTCATTAATATATTGTGATATTGCGAATACATTTTTAACAAAGGTTTAAAAGCTACTGCTAGGAAACATGTTTTTATTAATTCAATTTCGATTTCTATTGGCTGCAAGTATTTAGGAATTGTATTTAAAATCAATGAATTTGTTTTTTAATAAAACGTTTTTTATTTGGTAATATTGTTCTAATATTCGATTTTCATGAATTGATTGATTTGATTTTTTAAATTTTTAGTGCTATATTTAATCTTTGAATATCAAAGCAAACTGTCTTGAATGTGAATATGGGGTATTGAAATTTTATTGAAAATGATTTTTGTGGCTTGGTTTGTAGTTTGTAAATATTTGGAATGGTTAGATTTATAATCCGCATATCCAAAAGATTTGATTATAAACGTGAGTTAGACAATGTAAAGAAAGTTTATTTGAACAATTCATAGAAGTTTGATATGAGTTGCATAATATATTAGTTTTGTATACAAACTTAATATTATTAGTCATTGTAATTAAGTGCATAAATAATGTTGATGTCTATTACAGTTTCTCATAGAATCTGTTATCATGAGTGCTACCGATACGTCTGCTACCGCCAGTAATAACCAAAGCATTATTCAACGTCAGATTAATCAGGGCATAGAACGCCAAATTATAAAAGCGCAAAGGATCCATCAAATTCGAGTGCCACACACGCCCCAGTTGCCGCAAATGCAAATAATTGATCGAATCATGCAAGTCCCAGTGATCGAGTCTGCGGTTAAGAAATCGCAGAACGTATATGACAAAATCAAATGTAAGTAAAGCAGACAAAATATTTAAGGTACTAGTTTTCAATCGGTTAAAAGTTATTTTTTTGTTTTTCTGAATTATCAGCTATATCTGAAAATGTTGTAATACATTAAGATGTAATAAATTTTAAAACATAAGCTAGCATGTAAATTTTCTTAGTGAACCACACCTAAAACAATCCCGAATCATGTGAAAATAAAGGGTATGTTATCGTTTAATATTATCTTTTTTATCAATGCAATAAAATGTAGTGAACACATTTGCCAATCCAAATGATGAATAAATAAAATTAATAGTATATTAAATAAAAGTAAATTTAGTAAAATACTAATTAAAATTTGTTGTAAATGGTTATGATAATTATTGCCGTTTCAGCAATCAGTCCCATAATGGCTTCCACTTTGGACACCGCAGAGAACGTCACTCGACGGATAGCTGTCCCGTTGGCTCATCATTTAGGGCGTCCTTTAAACGCTCTCGACAATACCTTGATGGCGTCTTTGGACAAGATACAAAACACTATACCAGTTGTACGTGATACTCCTTCAGACATCATTCGTCGTACTGAACACGCAATTTCTGCAATCAAATCGATTTCTGTTCAAAAAACAAATGAAGCTTTGGCGACAACTAATGGAGTGCGGGCTTTGAATACTTTGGATGCTGCTACAAACCGTGCAATTTCCTTAATAGACCACTATTTGCCGGCTTGTAAAAGTGAAAGTGGAGATATGCAATTAACTTCAGCAATAGATTCAGATATTCCTGTAAAAGGAATTGATAGGGCTGTCATTGCTGTGGGTAAAGTAGGCCGCACCGTCACGGGACGATTGCATGGAAAAGCGCAACGTGCCATACCGGCGGCTATTTGCAATCTTGGTTTAGCTGGACCCTTGGAATCGCTGAATGATAAAGTGAAAGATATGAAGAAAAAAGAAATCAAGAAAAGTGATAAAACGTTGCAGCCTCCTAAAGATGCGAATGCGGTTTCTCAAAATTAGTTGTATTTTAAAGTTGTCCTTCATCGATTTTTAAACCTATTTTATTAAACATAATTTAAGAACTTATTTTGAATAAAATGTCATATATTTATTTTCGTTATTTTACACTTAATTTTATTGTTAACTATCATGTCAAGTTGTTAGTTCAATATATAAAACAAAACAAACAAATCAATCTTTTTCTTAAAAAATTGCGATATAATTACATAAAAATTTAAATACCCATTCATTGATGTCCAACATAAAATTAAAATATACTTTATTAACACGTGCATTTGGTAGTAACACTTTCAAAGAATAAATTAATATATCCAACAAAACAGTAACTGCGGTTAATTGACTATCAAAATTATAACAATTTATGGCGTTCTGATAGTTTTGATAGCGTTAAGTGCATTTTGTATCAAATTAAAAATAATTGTGGTTTTACAAAATATTAATGTAAAGACTGAGTGGCCGATTCTACCGTAAAATAAAACAATTTTGTCGCAAGGCTATGTCACGTAGCGCTTCTCATATAAGATGGCACATGATACTGCCAAAATGCCATGTAATTACGCCACCATAGATAAATAAGCATAAATAGATCGCTATCTCGGGCGATTTGACGTTACACTCATTTTAATTTACGAAATGATCACTACATGACAGCACATGTACATACAGTATGTAAATTAACCTCTGGTATTACTTCTACATTTGTACATAAAATCAATACAGCCCAAAAATCTGAAAACAATTAATTATTTGAAATAAGAACAAAACATATGAAATACAAAATATATTTTCGAATATATCACAGACATATTTTTGAAGAATTATAAACTAAACAGAAATAACTGACTACTATTGATTAAAGTATATTACAGCCATATTTTTGAAGTATTACAAGTTGAAGAGAAATAACTTATTCATATTAATTAATTAATGACTAATAATAATAGATTAAAAACTTAAAAACTAAGAAGTAAAAAGCGCAGGAGTATTGATGATGGAATGACAAATTTAGAAGGAATGACAAGTAATGCAATAATTTAAAAGGATAAAAAGAACAGCACATTTTTAAAAAAGAATGAATACTTTCCAAACAAAATAATCCTAAAAACAATATATATATATATATATATATATATATATATATATGATATCCAAATTGAAAAAAAAACTAAATTCCTAGGATTAAAATTCATTTACGAGATATTCTTGTTTGTTATCTCTCCATTTAATAGTTATTTTGCTATCTAATCAATCATTAATAAAGTTATAAGTGTTTTTTTAAACGTAAGTAACCAAAACCCTGAACTACTTTTAATTTATACCAATTGTAGCTCAAACCTATCTATCGTTTTAATCGAGCTTTTATTGCAAGGAGGTTTAGTTAAAACTAAAACTAAATCCTTGCGCTTTATAAACTGTCTGGTCTTTGAGTATGCTCTCTTAATCAGGGGCGTAGCGTGCTTTGGCGGGGCCCCGTATCAAAATTTGTTTTGGGGCCCCCTCAAGATTTTTTTTACGAAATATCAAATTTTTGAAATAATTTGATCAAAACCAACAATCGAGTTATCCATAAATAAGAATGTACATGCAGTCAATATCGCTACAGGGAAAACACATGATTTTTGATACTGGCAATGTAATTTAAAAAATTGCTTCCGAAGAATAATGAACAAGAGGTGTCACAAAAAAAGAGATTTTTGTAACAAAGGAAATTTGTAATTTGTAATAAAATACCATCAATTTAGGAGTTACCTAAGGAATGATGCTAGGGCTCCTTCAACAAATAAGTAGTCGATGCAAACAAAAACTGTATTAATTAACTAATAATTTGGTAACAAAAATTCAATATATAAGAATTTTGAATTTTAATATTGTTAATATCAATAGAATATTTATTTATTATTCTAATTATTTATCTATCTAATTTTCTCTAATTTTCTGAGTTTTTCTCAAATGATTCCAGATATCCAAGAGTCTTAATTGAGACAATATCAAAATTCTTGCCCTTACATTTTAAGTTTTTGGAATATTTCAAAACTTCTCAGAACATCGTATACTCTGTTGGAATTTATCCTTTAAATTATTGCATTGCATTTTAATCCCGAAACAAAATTTGATGTATCATACATCTTCTGGGTGTTAAGGCACTCCTACGCCAAATCATTGCATTCTGCGGCAATTTGCAGCTACCATCAAGGACTTTTATAGAATATATTGTTATATCATATTAATTGAAGATATTGTAATTATCATATTAAATATTTTTGCTGCAATTAGTATGAAAAAGTACCTTTTCGGAAAACTGGTGTCAGAATAGGTGACTTTTAACCTGCACTTGACAATCTTAGAGGTGCTGCAAAAATCTTTTTCAAGGTGTTTAGGCTTCCATCTCCGAAGAACATAAGATTCATTTATTAATATTTTTATGCAAATGTTATTGAAGTATTTAGAGTTATAAATACTTGGCTTTGTCCTTGGAGTTGCAGATTGTTCTTCTGGTTCTGTATCAGAGCATTCTCCAGTGACTTGAAAACTATTTTGTTATTGCCGTGAAGGAGACACTTCCATTTGGTTTCAATTTCAAATTATCATTGATTTGTGCCACAAACCGAAGAGTTAGGTCATCCATTAAAAAATTATTTGCCCTCTGCATCCAAATTGAAAGCATCTTTTTACACACAAATTTTTACACACAAATATATATAATATATATTTACACAAATATATATATATATATATATATATATATATATATATATAATATAACATTTTCATATGATTTTCATGCTACATATTCATTATATGCATATACATCATTATATACATACCTGATAATTAGATTCCGGAAAGACATGCATTTTTTTATTATATTTGGGGTTATAACAATTTGGCACATAACACTTTATCATTTTAACTTAATAATAAATGAAAAAATGTTCACCAAAACATAATTATATATAAACAATCACATAAAAACAAATATAACACATCTCAACTACAATACGCGATGACAACTTGACAACTTATAGAAAACGGCGATCGAATCAATCAAATGTAGATCAAGCTAGATCAATGAAATTGGAAATCGTAGCGCCATCCTTCGAAATATTCAAATACCAATCCATTTCAAAACACGGTAATCTACATTTGTTTGGAGATTACCGGCCATGTACGCCACTTTACAAAGGTGTAGTAATCATAATATTGTTTTTTGGCATTTGTGCGTTTTTAGGTTAGGTTCTTATTTAAAACGCACGCATGCACTGCAACCATATGGCATTTTGACATAATTTAGTACCATTTTATCATTTATATTCTAATTGTGATTTTATCATTTTAAGTTCTAAGAAAAATATTATGTCATAAGCGACAAAATAAAGAAAAATAAATATGTAAAAAAATATCATTTTTATTCGTTATTTTTGAACATTTTCATTAATTGTATATAAACATCAAAATATGTTTCATTCGTTCTCTGGACCGATCAATATTCATATAGAAATCGCACAGATCCTTTGCAATTTTTTCGCTGAGAATGTTAAAAATAAATGTCACGTTTTCTAGTAAGTAGTTGTCAAGGCATTTGAATTGCTATCTTTCATTGAATTGGGAATGTGGGTTTAATGTCGGTTCAAACCAAATTTTACTGTGGCAATCCATACTATAACAAACTATATGTACATATATCATTACAATATAACAAATATTCTGTTTGTTTACATTCTTGAAAACACCGATAGCGGCAATGACGGCAGAGACAACAAAGGTGGCTTGGTCAAACCCTTCGCAGTAGTTCAAAATGACGACATTACCAAGAGCTACAAAGACTGAATATTTTGTTTTGAAATATTTCTTTATATAATTCACATATTTAGTACAGCGTCAAGCTTTGAAAGCGAAAGTTCGTGTTTTGTTTAAAAATTAAATAAAATTTATAATAAAAGTTTGATAATGTGTTAATTATATAATTATACTTCTAAAAAATAAACTGAAAATGCGACATACCATGGACTCGAAACGTCTGTATTTATAAAAAAAGTGTGCAAAAAAGTGAGTGTTGTGCGTTCATATTTAATATTAACTTCCTGTAGGAATCCAAAAAAATCTAATATGAAAATTTTTATTTATCTTAACATTTCAATGGTTTGTGAATATTTTTGCATACCTTAGAAAAAAATTGATGTATGTGTGTGCGAATATGAACCATTTAATTTTTTTGGGTTTTATGCCAAGATTTTTAATTTTGAAGTTTATTTATATGGTTCAAACAAATGTCCTCGACGTTTTCGACAGTATGGAATAACCGATTTGTATTATTGAAATTATTGAAAAAACATTCGGTTCGTACTCGATCGCGAGGCGTTTTTGCAAAAGTAACATCTTGCAGTTCTGGAGGTATGAAGCGCAAAGTGTGTAAAAATTGTAATGCAGTTTTTGAGAGAACGGAGCTCCGATTAGAATAATTCAAAAAAGCTTTTGCTTGTTTAGACGGTGAGGAAAAAATGGTTTTATAAAAAAATTCTTAGTTTTGAAAATTTTCAAAAAAATAAATCAAAACTTTCAAAAAAAAAAAAATTAAAGTTTCACAAAATTCAAATTTTCCAAATTTTTCATCATTTTAAAAAAATCTAAATTTCAAAATATTTCAAAAATATCATAATTAAAAAAAACATTTTTTTTTTTTTAAATTTGAGAATATTTCGAAATTATCAGAATTTCCAAATTCTCAAAAAACTAAAAAAAATCCATTTCTTTTTCAAAAATTCCATAAATTTTCAAACTTTTAAAAAATTTTCAAAATTTTGAAAAAAATTCAAAATTATCAAAAAAATCAAATTATAAAAAAAATAACATTTTTTATAAGCATACACATAAGTTGTTTGTAGAATACGCTCGTCGCTCGATATAATAAGCACTTACAAATTTACAGTATGAATTTATAATAAATAATGTATTTGAAATTATTTAAAACAATTATTGTTATGAACAACAATTGTTGTTATGAGAAGTTCTAGCAATGTACCTTAAGGCACGATGCCGTGCATCACTAGCTTAATATTTG